GGATTTGGCTCTGATCCACGTGGAGATCCAAGTGCTGGACATCAATGACCACCAGCCACGGTTTCCCAAAGGCGAGCAGGAGCTGGAAATCTCTGAGAGCGCCTCTCTGCGCACCCGGATCCCCCTGGACAGAGCTCTTGACCCAGACACAGGCCCTAACACCCTGCACACCTACACTCTGTCTCCCAGTGAGCACTTTGCCTTGGATGTCATTGTGGGCCCTGATGAGACCAAACACGCAGAACTCGTAGTAGTGAAGGAGCTGGACAGGGAAATCCATTCATTTTTTGATCTGGTGTTAACTGCCTATGACAATGGGAACCCCCCCAAGTCAGGCACCAGCTTGGTCAAGGTCAACGTCTTGGACTCCAATGATAATAGCCCTGTATTTGCTGAGAGTTCACTGGCACTAGAAATCCAAGAAGATGCTGCCCCTGGTACTCTTCTCATAAAACTGACTGCCACAGACCCTGACCAAGGCCCCAATGGGGAGGTGGAGTTCTTCCTCAGTAAGCACATGCCTCCAGAGGTGCTGGACACCTTCAGTATTGATGCCAAGACAGGCCAGGTCATTCTGCGTCGACCTCTAGACTATGAAAAGAACCCTGCCTATGAGGTGGATGTCCAGGCAAGGGACCTGGGTCCCAATCCCATCCCAGCCCATTGCAAAGTTCTCATCAAGGTTCTGGACGTCAATGACAACATCCCAAGCATCCATGTCACATGGGCCTCCCAGCCATCACTGGTGTCAGAAGCTCTTCCCAAGGACAGTTTTATTGCTCTTGTCATGGCAGATGACTTGGATTCAGGAAACAATGGTTTGGTCCACTGTTGGCTGAGCCAAGAGCTGGGCCACTTCAGGCTGAAAAGAACTAATGGCAACACATACATGTTGCTAACCAATGCCACACTGGACAGAGAGCAGTGGCCCAAATATACACTCACTCTGTTAGCCCAAGACCAAGGACTGCAGCCCTTATCAGCCAAGAAACAGCTCAGCATTCAAATCAGTGACATCAACGACAACGCACCTGTGTTTGAGAAAAGCAGGTACGAAGTCTCCACACGGGAAAACAACGTACCCTCTCTTCACCTCATTACCATCAAGGCTCATGATGCAGACTTGGGTATTAATGGAAAAGTCTCATACCGCATCCATGATTCCCCAGTTGCTCACTTAGTAGCTATTGACTCCAACACAGGAGAGGTCACTGCTCAGAGGTCACTGAACTATGAAGAGATGGCCGGCTTTGAGTTCCAGGTGATCGCAGAGGACAGCGGGCAACCCATGCTTGCATCCAGTGTCTCTGTGAGGGTCAGCCTCTTGGATGCCAATGATAATGCCCCAGAGGTGGTCCAGCCTGTGCTCAGCGATGGAAAAGCCAGCCTCTCCGTGCTTGTGAACGCCTCCACAGGCCACCTGCTAGTGCCCATCGAGACTCCCAATGGCTTGGGTCCAGCAGGCACTGACACACCTCCACTGGCCACTCACAGCTCCCGGCCATTCCTTTTGACAACCATTGTGGCAAGAGATGCAGACTCGGGGGCAAATGGAGAGCCCCTCTACAGCATCCGCAGTGGAAATGAAGCCCACCTCTTCATCCTCAGCCCCCATGCAGGGCAGCTGTTCGTCAACGTTACCAATGCCAGCAGCCTCATTGGGAGTGAGTGGGAGCTGGAGATAGTGGTAGAGGACCAGGGAAGCCCCCCTTTACAGACCCGAGCCCTGTTGAGGATCATGTTTGTCACCAGTGCTGACCACCTGAGGGACTCAGCCCGCAAGCCTGGGGCCTTGAGCATGTCGATGCTGACAGTGATCTGCCTGACTGTACTGCTGGGCATCTTCGGGTTGATCCTGGCTTTGTTCATGTCCATCTGCCGGACAGAGAAGAAGGACAACAGGGCCTACAACTGTCGGGAGGCCGAGTCCACCTACCGCCAGCAGCCCAAGAGGCCCCAGAAACACATTCAGAAGGCAGACATCCACCTCGTGCCTATGCTCAGGGGTCAGGCAGGTGAGCCTTGTGAAGTCGGGCAGTCCCACAAAGACATGGACAAGGAGGCGATGATGGAAGCAGGCTGGGACCCCTGCCTTCAGGCCCCCTTCCACCTCACCCCGACCCTGTACAGGACGCTACGTAATCAAGGCAACCAGGGAGCACCGGCGGAGAGCCGAGAGGTGCTGCAAGACACCGTCAATCTGCTTTTCAACCATCCCAGGCAGAGGAACGCCTCCCGGGAGAACCTGAACCTTCCCGAGCCCCAGCCTGCCACAGGCCAGCCACGTTCCAGGCCTCTGAAAGTTGCAGGCAGCCCCACAGGGAGGCTGGCTGGAGACCAGGGCAGTGAGGAGGCTCCACAGAGCCCACCAGCCTCCTCTGCAACCCTGAGACGGCAGCGACATCTCAATGGCAAAGTGTCCCCTGAGAAAGAATTAGGGCCCCGTCAGATCCTGCGGAGTCTGGTCCGGCTGTCTGTGGCTGCCTTCGCCGAGCGGAACCCCGTGGAGGAGCTCACTGTGGATTCTCCTCCTGTTCAGGTACCTGGGGCATGGGCAGCTCTTTCTCTGGTCACTCCTGACCACCAGAAACAGCATCAGACACCCCCGTAACCTGCACAGTCCTCATGTTTCTTCCTTAGGCTCACCTGGTACTTTTTGATGCTTTGGATAGCAGTGGTTCAGGGCACAGCTTTGTGACTGGCTGAACTTAGCTGTGTGATCCTAGGCAAATTCCTTACTGTCTCTGGGCCTTAGTTGTCTTATCTGTAAATTAGAAATGATAGTAAGAGTATCTACCTCGTAGAGTTGTCCAGAGGATTTGATCAATTAGTTCCTACAAGGCATTTATGGTGCCTCACAAGTAGACACACAGCAAAGGTAGTGACTAAGAGTATAAGCTTTGGGCAAGGTTGCCTGAGTTCAAATCCTAGCTCCACTTCTTCCTAGCTCTGAACCACAGGGGAAGTTAACTTCTCTGTTGAAAGATGTCTGTGTTAACAGCACCCATCTTCTAAGTTTGCTTGAAGATAAAATGAGTGAATGCTCTTAATGCCTGTAGAACAGCGTCCATCTGACATGTAGTCAGTACTCAGCAAATTATTGCTATTCCTTCCTCAAAGCACTTCTCCATCTCCACTCTCTGCCTGCCCTCATCTCATCTGGGCAACCTCCCTATGAAGAAGGCCAGGATAGGCATCATTGCACCCAAACCCAGGTGTAGCAAATAATTTGTCTGAGACCCCAGAGCTTTCTGGCTGGGCCTGCAGGATGCGGCAGAGGAAATAACCTTAGAACTTTGCAGTTAGGCAGATTGGGATTCAAATTTCAACAGTCACTTAGGAGCTGGGCAACCTTGTACACATCCTTCAACATCTGAGCCTCATTTTCCTCATCTATAAAATGGGGACTATGAGACCAAACTTACCCTGTGTCTGCCTCCTTAGAGTGTGAGGTCTAAATGGGATGATGAGTGACAAAATGTCTAAGGACCTGGGATTTTCTAGACACAAGTGTGGAAACCTTTTCAGGGATGATGCCTGATCTCACACCCATATCTGCTTCTGTGAACCTCAGATATTTTCACTGTGCCAGGCTGCCTGCCCAAGGCACACCTCTATTTGGCCAGGCCATCAGTTCATGTTTCCTGTGAAGCAAAACACAGTTTCCTTCCCTTACTCCCTCCTCAGGAAGCCACCTGGAGATGGCCCAGCTGTTCTCTTAGGAATCTTGCCCTGGAATCAGTGCAGACCCAGAGGTTGCCAGAGCCAACCACTAATTTATCTTTCCATTCATCCATCCATTGATCAGGTGCTTTTTGGATAAACTCTGTGCTGAGCACTGTGCTGGCTGCTGGTAGACAGCACAACAGAGAATAGGCACCGTGGGTGGCCCCACTGAGGTGACAGAAAGAAAGGTGCCCATTTGGGATCAACTTGAGGCTGCTTGCCCAATGCTCATATCTTTCCAGCAGCACATAGAGTCAGATCTGAGTTTAAATTCCAGCCCTCCCACTAACTTCTATGTAGCCCCTGTAAGCCTCCAATTCCACCTCTGCAAAATGGCCATAATGGTATCTCTTCCCTTAGGCTGTTGTAAGAATTAAGGGAGATTGGCCGGGCGCGGTGGCTCAAGCCTGTAATCCCAGCACTTTGGGAGGCCGAGACGGGAGGATCACGAGGTCAAGAGATCGAGACCATCCTGGCTAACACGATGAAACCCCATCTCTACTAAAAAATACAAAAAAATAGCCGGGCGAGGTGGCAGGCACCTATAGTCCCAGCTACTTGGGAGGCTGAGGCAGGAGAATGGCGTAAACCCGGGAGGTGGAGCTTGCAGTGAGCTGAGATTCGGCCACTGCACTCCAGCCTGGGCGACAGAGCGAGACTCCGTCTCAAAAAAAAAAAAAAAGAATTAAGGGAGATTATATGACACTGGACAATCATTGTTTATCATGGGATCTATTAATAAGCTCATTTAAATCTCATAACCCACCATATGATCTGGGTCTCATTAATATTCACTTTTTTACTGTTGAGGAAACTGAGGCTCAGAATGCTTAAGTAATTCCTCAAGGCCACATTGATGGGAACTGGGGCAGGGGCATATTTGGGATTTGAACCTGAGTCTGACTGATTTGAATCTGGGCTGTAACTGTGAAGTGACCCTGAATGACAGTGCTCAGCATAGGGATTGGCATGTAGGGAGTCATGTCATGAAATGCCAGCTGTCACTTGAGCAAAGGGTGGCAGGTATCTTAGGAGGGCTTCTGGGCCTGGGCTGGGAGGTGGGATCTTCCCTGAGGCAGGCAATGAGACCCTGAGTCTCCCAAGTCACAGTGAAACCCCAGTCCTGGCCATCTCCTCTTCCAACTCTCCTCTGAGGTTGACACTTCCTACCTCAAGCTGCACCGAGGGGCACGGTGGACCTCCTAAGGGAGGAATGGGGGTGGACCCAGGAGGTTGAAGCAGTGTTTCTAGGAATAACAGTCCAAACTCCTTGCTTTTGCAAAGGATTTTTAACTTTTTCAAACCATTTAATCTTGACAACACCGAGAAGAAGGCTGTATGGGTATTTCTAGCCCCCCATTAGAGATGAGGAAACTGAGGTCTGAGGAGGTCTAAAAGCCTGTCTAACACTATACAATAAGCTACAAATGGCCTTGAACTAGAACTCCGCCTCCCAGGACTTGATCTGTTGCCTTTCCCTCCCAATGGCCTATAGGGTCTGGCCCTGGTAGCTCACCCATCCCCTACTCCATTCTCCAATCTTTCTGAAACTCTGCCTTCTCTTCCAGCCTTTCAGTGTGCAGTGCTTCTGCCTGAAACCACCCCCCTGTCACCATCACCCCTTGCCCAGACCCTCGTTCTCTTTCCACTTGCCAAACTCCTATGGAGCCTTTGGGTCTCAGCAGAGGTGCCTGGCATGTAGTATGAACTCAGTAACATCTGTTGAAATGAATGAATGAACTTAATCCAGTACCACCCCCCTGCTTCCTCCCTGCTCCAAGTTGGGTTAGGGGCCTTCCTCCACTCCCACAGAGCCCCCACTCTTTCCCTACGCCCAGAGGCAACCCCTGTGGTAACCACTCTTCACTGCTCCCCCACTCCCTGTGGGGCTGCCTGCAACCTTCACCTCCTGACAGATATGACCATGCTGAGGGCAGCAGCTGGGTCTCCTTCTCCTTCTTACTCCCATTGCAACCATCCTGCCTGGCACTTATTAAGTACTTGTTGAATGAATGAATGAAAAGATGAATAAATGAATAATTTAATGACACCATTTTGCCTTCTCTACAACATAGTCTTACATCTGGTCAACAAAAATCGACCAAATGTCCAAATACTGCTAAAGGGGAACATAACTCTTTAAGATAATCTTTATCAAAGTGACAACAAATTGATGGTCAGGAAATGCGTTTTTCACCCCTATCTCTCAGAGTCCACCAGGCGCAGGACACTCGGAGGAATGAGTGTGAGGGGATGGGCCCAGAGGGTCCTCTTGCTCTCCTTCAGACACTCAGGTCCTGGGGTGACATGACAGAGCAGGGGACCTGCCTGCCCAGGTCCCTGTCTCTGCCACTGGGCACCATCCCCCATCTGATCACACAAACATCTGAAGCCAGAGGAAAGACTATAAAAAGAAAGCACCGGCATTGAGGGAAACATCCGGCGAGGAAGTGTGCTGAGTCGGAATTGTGTGGAGTCAACAGATTTTTCCTGTCTTGTAGCAAATCTCCCAGCTGCTGTCCTTGCTGCATCAGGGCCAATTCCAGCCGAAACCAAACCACCGAGGAAATAAGTACTTGGCCAAGCCAGGAGGCAGCAGGTAAGCAGCACGTAGCCCCCACAGGCATCTCATGGCCCCTACTGGCTGCCCCTCATCTCTGCAGCCTCTGTGAGTGAGGAAGGGTGAGCCCATCCCAGACACCGGTCCCCTGGGAGGGTGCAGCAGACAGCATCCATCCTCCCACCCTGGGAGGCTTGGTCATGGGGTGACTGTATTGATAGTATTTACACGACCTAGAAGTCCTATAGGACTATCAAGATGTATTAATAAATACTATCAATACAGTAGTCACCAAGGAAATGACTTCATCGCTGAGGCTCGATTCGTCCCCTGATTACAGAGGTGCTGTAAATTGCCTTTATATCTGTAACTGTCACCTCTCTTTCTCTGGGCCCATAAACATAATATGAAGGCTCCCCACTAAAGACATGGATATGTGGGCGTGTCCCTTTGGGCAATCCTAGAATTGAAGAGCCCTTAAGAGAACATCAAATCCAACTTCTTGTTATGGATGGATAAACTGAGGCTCTGGATAGTTTGATTCAAACCAGCTATGTAAACTTGAGCAAGTGAGATAATCTCTCAGGACCTTGGTTTCCCCATCTGTAAAATAGAAGCCATCCCATTTCCCTTGTAGTAATGGGGTGAGAATTTCATGATCAATTGTATTCTAAGCCCATAGCCCAGGACTGATGCATAGTAGGTGCACACACAACGCTAACTCCTTTCCCCTTGAAGCAATTTTGCTAAAGGTCATGTAACAAGTGAGTGGCAAAGCTGGGACCAGCTCTCAGAGTTCCTGACTCCTGCATCAGTGCTCTTGCCCTGACAACTTATAGCTTCTTTTTACAAGGATGGCAAGAGGTAGTGTACGGCAGGGGTGAGTCCACACACTCCAGAGTCACACTGGCCTGGATTTGAATTCTTGCTTTATCTCTTAATCTACGGGGACCTTGGGAACCTGCAAAATCTTCACAAGTCTTGGTTTTCTCATGTGTACAATGGGGTGATTGAAGAGAACCCTTTACAGGTGTGGAAGGTTTGAATGAGACGGTGCATGGACCTTGCATCACATGAGGCCTGACTCAGACTCACTGCTTAATAAACATTAGTTGTCATTATCACCCACACACTTGCCACCTCCCTGCTCATTTCTTCACAGCAGCAGAAATGGCTACAGGGGGAAAAAATCCCAAACAAACAGAAAGGACTCCTACGCCTTAAAACCCCTCAGAAGCCTTTCCACCTGCTGGGATGAGGGTCCAGGCCTGTCCCCAAGTGTCCATGGGAGAGAGGGGCCAGGATGGAGACAGCAGGAGACTGGGATGCAGGTAGCAGATTCTGAGCAGCTTTAGGCTGCCTCACTCCAGCTGCACCCTCCATAGGTCTGTTCTTCTGGCCTAGGTTTTGGCCTAAAGTAGGAAGGAAGGAATGTTCAGTCATTCATTAAGTGTTGATTCAGCACCCACTGTGTGCCACGCCCTGTTCTGAGCATCAGTGAGCGAGCAGGGAATGAGACAGGCAAAAATCCCAGCCTTGCTGGAGCTCTTCTTCTATGGATGGATGGACAGCTGCACTGGCTCCACTGAGGTTTACTAAACTCCTCCTGTGTGCCAGGAAATACCTAGGCATGGGAGAAGCGACAAGAATGATATCAATGAACTCATCTTCACTTCTGTCTGCTGAGTGCTTACAATGTGCCAGGCTCTGTGGTAGGCCCCTTTACCTACAGCGTCTCATTTTACCCTCACAATACCCTGTGAGGTGGGTGTTATTTATTACTCTCATTTTACAGATGAGGAAACAGAGTAAGAGGAGGGCTGGAATCACATGATCCAGGTTGGTCTGACTGCAGAGGCCAGGCTGTGAATCCAGTTCCCTATACGGGTAAATGAATGCAAACATAAATGGGCATGAATGAATGGATCTATATAGGAATGTCCTTACCCGTGGACTGGCTGGTTTCTTTTGTAGGAGTGCAATCACAGACACAGATGGCCCGAGTGCGAGGGCTGGAGGCCAGACAGACCCAGAACAGGAGGAAGGGCCTTTGGATCCTGAAGAGGACCTCTCTGTGAAGCAATTGCTAGAAGAAGAGCTGTCAAGTCTGCTGGACCCCTGCACAGGTAGGGACCTCCTAGAGTCACCTTGCCCCATGGTGTCCAGGCTTCAGAGTTGTACTCCAATCCACTGCAGGGAAAAGCCATTCTGTTTCTGTGGAGGAACATCAGCAACATTTAAATTCCCTTTCACCCTTGCAGCCTCAGAAAGTATTTTAAAGACTGGGTTCTACTTTGATTTCTTTTTTAGACAGGGTCTTGCTTTGTCACCCAGGCTGGAGTAGAGTGGCGTGATCACAGGGTGATCACAGCTCACTGCAGCATTGACCTCCTGGGCTCAGGTGATCCTCCCACCTTGGCCTCCCAAGTAGCTGGGACTACAGGTGAGCACCACCACATCTCGCTAAGTTTTGATTTTTTTTTTTTTTTTGGTAGGGACAGGGATTCACATGTTGCCCAGGCTGGTCTCCAACTCCTGGGCTCAAGCAATCCGCCCACCTCAGCCTCCCAAAGTGCTGGCGTTAGAGGCATGAGCCACCTGTAATCAAAGCCAAAGTAGGCACCCGGCCTACTTTGATTATTCATTTTAAAAATCACTGTAAGAATAGTGAACATGCCAGGCACAGTGGAAGCATCTTATGTACATGATCTCATTTAAGCCTCCAGCCAATCTCCTCAAGTAGATAATTATTACCTTGAATTTACAGATGAGAAAACCGAGGCTCAAAAAAATCGAGTAGCCGTCCCAGAGTCACCCAGCTCACCAGTGATCGAAGGGGAGCCAAACCCTGAGCCAGCCTGTCCTCTATGGACTTCTTACCACTCATTTGCGTCTGGTGTGTTTTAATACCCTTTCGCCCTGGGAACCAGGTCAACTCTTTAACATGCTAACAATTGCAATTAAAACAAAAAGAATTTTGCAGACAAACAATTAGCTTTGACAATAAATACATAATGTGAATTTGAATTCAAGAATCTGCTAGCGCCCCCTGCCCCTGCTACGGACATTGGTCAGCCTTCTTTGGTAACACACCCCACAGCGGACCATCCCTGTGCTGTGGTTTTCTATCTATGTAGTTAACACTGTTTCTCACGTGCTCCATCTGGCTGCAGACACATTGAAGGCACGGCAGGGACTTCTCTCCCTGGTTAAAAAAATATTGCTAATAGTTATTGGGCACTTTCTATGTGCTAGGCCCTGTTCTAAGTACCTCATGAGAAAATCTTATGAGATAGGGACTATTCATTATCCCCACTTCATAAAGGAAAAATGTGAGGGTCAGGGGTGTTTAATAATTTGCCCAAGGTTGTGCAGCTCATGGATAGTTATTAACACAGGCAGTGTAGCTCTAAATTTTAGAGCTGTGTTGTTCAATGCGGTAGTCACTAGCCACATGTGGCTATTTAACTTTAAATGAATTAAAGTTAAATAAAATGAAATATTCAGTTCTTCTACCATATCGGCCACATTTCAAGTGCTCAATAGCTACGTATGGCTGGGGGATATAGCTTTGGATTCTATCTCTATTCATCAGCTCTGGCTGGAACCTGTGGGGTCAGTTCCCACACGGTCCTGCTTGCCCATAGCACAAAGGGTACTGAACACAGGAGCACTGTAAGGAGTGGGGGGTAAGGAAAGAGGAGGGGCAGAAAAGCCTTTGCCGCTCACAGGCTGGACTGCCATGGGGAGACTGGGATCTTGCTGCTTCAGATTGCTTCAGATTTGCTGCTTCAGATTCAGATTGCCCCACTTGAGAATGTGACCATGATAATGTTTTACTGGTTGCATGAACTCATTGAACCTCACAACAACTCCACAAGATAAGTACTACTGTCTCACCACTTCCTAAGAGGAAACGGGAGCTTAGAGAGGTTAAGCCATCTTCCCAAGGTCACACACACTGCCCCTAAGCGGCAAAGCTGGGAAATCAAACCCGGGTTGGCCCAGCGCCCACCTGCAGCTAGAACTGGTGGGTAATGCTGGGTGAATTCAGCATCACTTTTCAGCTGTTCTCATACGCCCCAGCGATTTTCTCATTCCAAGCTTCACTCCTTCTGAAGCTCTCTGATCCGTGTACAAGGAAAGGCCTGATTCTACACCACCAAGAGTTCCATCCAACCTTATAGCCTCGGAGTCTCAAGAAACTAAGGTTTGCATTTCCCAGATGTTGAAGGTGAATATTTATGTTCATTCAATCATTCAACAAACATTCACTAAGTCCCAGGCATGGGGCTAAACCCAAGGATCCTGTAGGGCAGGAGCCCAACACTGTCTCACAACCTGCACAGTCCAGAATGCAAGACAGAGATTCATTTATCAGTACAAAAAATGACTACCCGTACTTCAGAATAACTTTTTCAAATTACATAAGTAGAATACAGAAAAACATAGATAAACAAAAAGAGAACGGATTGCTTTTGCCCAGAGGTAATTTCAGTTAACATTTTGACATATCTCCTTCCAGTCTTTTATTCTGTGCACAGATTTTAAAGTAACTCACTTTAGGCAAACATTAGATAAATGTTAAGTAGATGTTGTGCTTTTTTTTTTTTAATTTTTTTTAAGACACTGTTTCTTAACTATAAGACTTACAGTTTCTTTCCTCTGGCTTGGTCTCTACCACCAGGCCTGGGACTGGTTTCTTGAAACAGGATTTTCTGTTGAAGGGATGGGAAAAGAAGTGTGACTGTGGCATTGCAAATGTAGGGGCCAGTTTTTTGAATTCCCAGCCACCAGGCTGACTTGCCACCACCACTACCCCAGTCCCTCTCCTGGGACAGCCCTTGGACAGGCAGCCCCTCCCCAGCCTGACTCTAGGCCAGGGTTTCCGGCAGCTTGAGAGATGATGTTGAGGAGGATTTGCGGATCGGGGGCCAGGTGATAACAGTGCAGACCTTAGGTAGCCTGGGAATTCCAGAGGCCCCAGCTGGGCACCTGGAGTATCCAGAGGGACGAAGGGCCAGCTCTTCAGAGAGAGGGTAGGGTGGTGCCATCATAGGAAGGCTTCAAAGTCATCAGACCTGGCATCAAATTGAGGTTTGTTGCCTAGCAGATGTGTGACTTAACTTCTTTCAGCTTCGGTTTCCTCATCCACCAAATGGGGATAATACTCTTGACCTCAAAGGTTTGTGTGGAAGTTAAATAATTATGTAAATTGTTCATCACATAAGTACCTAGTATGTGGTCCCTATTATTATGGATAGGAACAAAGGGCAGCGCCAAGTCAGGAACTCCAGCCTCGGCTAAGAAAAGGGATTTTTCCCTCCATCCTCAGCTAGTGGAGCCCTGAGGGGAGAAGGCGCCCTGAGGGGTAAAAATCCTGGATGAAATATAGAAGACACTGAGACTGGAAACACACCACAGCCCAGATTGGGAAATTCTTTAGGAAAAGGCTAATTCCTGCTTCTAGGCCTTCTCCTCCTCCTGCTGCTTCCCCACTCGGTTCGCCCGGGTGTGTCAGTCGACTGCCTTCCTACCCAGGGAGCTTCCCTGTCAGGGCCTCTTCCTTCCTGTCCCTGTCTGGCCACTCTGTCTGTCCCCTGCCATTTCCCTTCCCTCCTTTGTCCACTGCCCTTGCCCTGCCCATTGCCCCACCCTCACCCGCCTGGTCCTTCCCGGAGCCTGGCCCTCACTGTGTCCCCTGCTCCCCACACAGGTCTGGCCCTGGACCGGCTGAGCGCCCCTGACCCGGCCTGGATGGCGAGACTCTCTTTGCCCCTCACCACCAACTACCGTGACAATGTGATCTCCCCGGATGCTGCAGCCACGGAGGAGCCGAGGACCTTCCAGACGTTCGGCAAGGCAGAGGCACCAGAGCTGAGCCCAACAGGCACGAGGCTGGCCAGCACCTTTGTCTCGGAGATGAGCTCACTGTTGGAGATGCTGCTGGAACAGCGCTCCGGCATGCCCGTGGAGGCCGCCTCTGAGGCACTGCGGCGGCTCTCGGTCTGCGGGAGGACCCTCAGTCTAGACTTGGCCACCAGTGCGGCCTCAGGCATGAAAGTGCAGGGGGACCCAGGTGGAAAGACGGGGACTGAGGGCAGGAGCAGAGGCAGCAGCAGCAGTGGCAGTTGCCTGTGAACATACCTCGGACGCCTCTGGATCCAAGAATCAGGGGCCTGAGGATCTGGGGACATGAGCTGGTTTCTAAAATCTTATAACTCACTAGCTAGTGGTGGCCTGAGAACTTTAGGGTGACTGATGCTACCCCCACAGAGGAGGCAGGAGCCCCAGGACTAACACCTGACTGACCAAAGCAGCCCCTTGTAAGCGGCTCTGAGTCTTTTGGAGGACAGGGACAGTTTGTGGCTGAGGCAAGTGTTTGCTGGCAAAACATATGTAGAGCACAAAGGGTCAGTCCTCTGGCAGAACAGATGCCACGGAGTACCACAAGCAGGAAAGGATGGCCTTCTTGAGTAGCAGGAGTCAGGGGGCTGTACCCTGGGGGTGCCAGGAAATGCTCTCTGACCTACCAATAAAGGAAAAGCAGTGATTCATTCTGCTGTTTGCACCTGTCAAGAGGGAGAAGGGAAGAGTAATAGAGTGAGGGTTCTTTGTCATCCAATCCCTGGCAAGACTGTCACACCGGGCCTGGACAGGCGTGGGGCACCTTGGTACACAGTGACAGGTACACAAATAGCAGACATGTGTGCTCTTAACCCCGTTCCCCTACCACTATGTTACCAACTAATCTGCTTCTCAGCTGCAAAATTAGAGCTAAGAAAGCACAACTATTTATAAAGCATTTCCATGAGCCAGGCACCAGGCTTTACAATAGGATTTAATTTGATTTTCCAACAGTCCTGGGAGGGAGGTATGATTAACCCCATTTCACAGACATTGATTTGGGGCTTGGAGAGGTCAAATGGCTTTCCCAAGATCAAGCAGGGAGTACAGCCAGAGCCAGGATTTGGACCCGGGCTGGCCCAACACCAAAACCCAGGCCTTCAACCTTGACACCAGCCTGCCAACCAAGGAGAGGAGAAGGAAAGGCCCTGGAGGTGAGCTGTTGGCAGCAGTGAACTTGCCCGACAGAGCTCCCTCGGGAAACACTGTTGAAAGGAACATTTCCAAAGTCATGCAGGCCCGCACCTCTCTACATTTCCAAGCACAAGGCAAAAGGAACTTGGATCTGAACTGATGCAGACCCCTGTTCTTTCTGAGCAAGTAGCTCTTCAAGTGCAGATGTCATCTTTCTGGACCCCATTTGCCGGTAAACCTTCCTCTGTTATTGCAGGTTTAGGCTTGTGAATCCCAGAGGACACTGTGTGAACTGGGTCTATGAAATCCGCACTGACAGCAGCCAGCCTTCCAGGGGATGGAGGAGGGAAGAAATAGCAGATATTTTCCCAAGGTTCAGCTTTATAATTTTCTTGGAAATTTCCGAGCAGCCAATCAGCTAGCTTCTAAATAGCGTGGGTCTCTCCTGGACACTGCAGGCAAAAGTTCCTCTATCTGCTCCTCTTTTTGTCCTTTCTTGGAGTTCAGTGCTCATGTTCACTGTTCACAGAAATGGGCCAATTATACTCCCAACTAGGGATAATAGGCCTCATACATACTTGGAATACAGTGTGGTGTCATTATTCCATTATTCCATTTTACAGATGAAGAAAATGAGGCTCCCCAAAGTTATGAGTTTCCGGGGCAGAGTCTCTGGGTTTCTCCTCACCTCACTCTAGGCCAGAGCGATCTCCTTACAGAATCTGTGATTTTCAGGCTGGATCCCAGAACTGTTGGGTTCTGTGGGCCAGTGAGAGAAGCTGGGGGAAACCAAGCAGACAGGCAGGGTCTCCAGCCTGAACAGCCAGGTGCCTGCCACAAAGCAACGCTTGATAAATACCTGTTGAATGGATGTATGAATGAATAAATGTGTCAGTAAATGCTTCAGAGGCCCCTTTTATCCATATTGGAGCTCCAGGTAGGACTTCATTAGAAAAAATGATTGTTATGCAAAAGCAAAGTCTGAGAACCACAGTACTAGAGTAGACCATGGTGACCTCCCAGTTACCAGCAGATTTTCAGTGCTGAGCAGATGTTGGGAGGGTAGAGAGAAGACAGTGGGCATGGGGAGATGACCTGAGGAAGCTGGAATTATAGGTGGCAACTGGATCACTAGACACATGGGACCATTGCATCATTCTAGTTCAAAAGCTATAAATCTGTACTCATTGGGCTCCCTGAATACTAGGTAAAACTTTGTGTCTAGGCATTTTTTTTTTTAGGTAGAAGATACAAAATTCTCATCAGATTCTCTAAAGGAAACTTTGACCTTTAAAAGGTTACGCAGCATTGCTTTAAGATACTATCTAAACATCCACAGACATGGGCAATTGTCATAAGGAGTCTGAACTTTATCTATTTCAACTCTTCATTTTATAGCCAAGAATATAGAAAGAAACGGCAGATGACTTGCCTAAGGCCACCTGGCAGGTTTGTGGAGGAGAGCTTTCCAAATTAAGATGACATTTAACTGAGTGGTTGCTCAAATCAGGATTTGGATCTGGGATTTAGTATGGTGGTCTTTTTAATACGTCAAAGATTCTTAATCTGACGTCCTTGGTTGGACTTCAGGATCTATGAACCTGCTGAACTGCATGCAAAATTGGAAGGATATGCATTTTTTCTATGGAAAGAAGTAGGTGCTTAGATCAGATTCTCAAAGAGATTTAGGGTCCAATTAAGATTAGGAAGCACTACAATCCTCTAGGTCAGCCCTCAGCCCTGCCTTCCCTGCAGAACCTGGAGAACTCATGGGTAGAGCTGCTCCTGTTCTGAACTTTGATCAGAATGGGGGTGTACGTACGTGAGGGACAGTGTTCTCTCCTGCACCATGTATCCCCTCCTGATGAGCTGCTACCGGCACTTTGCCTGATAACAGGCTCAGAGTGAGACCGTGTCTATGGTGACAGAACCGGGTGTGCTGAACAGGAAGGTTACAGAAACTTCTTGACATCAGCCAAGATGTCAAAGCTGAGACTTTGGACATGCTCAAAACAGTTTCCACCAAGATGGGCTCTGTCCCCTGGGAGACTGAGGGAGCAGGCGAGCCAACAAGCACTCAGTTAAATGTTGTCTTAATTTGGAAAGCATAGAGGCATAGAGGGACTTTTTTTTTTTTTTAAATCAATAGTCAGCCGTTCTCCAGCACCAGGAGTGCAATGCAGTACTCACTCAGAGCCTGGGGGCAGCTCAGAGATTGACAGGCAGCTGCCTTGTCTGTCACCCAACTTCAGTTTGGCAGCTCACTGACCCTGCCTCTTCTCTGGCTGAAATAAGAGTGATGTGGCAACCACTACCCTTGAAACTCTGGAGAGAACCAAATCCCGCAAAAGAGAGGACAGGAGGAGGGAGAGGCCTGGCCTGGTACATAGTGTGTACCTAGAGAATAGATAAGCATTTTCTAGCTCCTACTAAATTTCGGGTACGATGGCGGAGAAGTAGTAGGACATGATCGGAAACACTCATGCAACAAACATTTTGTATTTATTGAACAATTACTGAGTGCCAGAAGTAGCACAGGGAACCGTGTGTGTGTGTGTGTGTGTGTGTGTGTGTGTGTGTGTGTGTGTAGGTGGCGAGTGGGGGGCAATACAGAATTATTCATTCAAGTTATTTAAAATTATTCATTCAAATTACTTAAAGTACCTACTATGTGCTGGGTAGGCTTGGTACTGGGCACTGGGTGGGGCGGGGGGTTGTTGAATGTATATTTACTGAACATCTGAGTGTCCCACACTATATTAGCACTAAAGATATAGTGAACCAAATAGCCTTGTTCTCATCGTAGTGTCAGGACTCCCTGAAAACAGCATCTCCGGATAGGGAAACTGAGGCAGTAGAGCTTCCCACAGAGGTCTCATTGGTGAGGACGCCAGGCTTTAACCCAGCATCCTGACCCAGGCTGGCCCTGCTGATGGGAGCCACCTCCCTCTCGTCCTCTCACACTTCCTCTGGGGCACTGATGATGAGTCATTAATAACAGAATTTTAATGGCAAAAGCACAGCAGTCCTCAGCTCTGCCAATGAAGCCCATCCCCCTGGTGTTGGATCAAGACCGCAGTGACTAACAGCCAAGGATTTTTGGTCCCTTGACAACACCTTTCTCACAACTCTGCCATCCTTCTCTTTCCACAGGAGAGGCCCTTCCTTTTTAAATTGGAGAGCTTAAAAATATCCTACCCCTAACCTTTGGTACCCCAAATTGAATCAGTATTTAGCTCAGTAGTGACTGAGTGGGAGGGAAAGCCATTCAGGGAGGGCTGCATGTGGCCTTCACCACAGGACCCCGAGTGTCCAGACTGTGAACCAGCCCTTGGCCCCGGCTATGGCTACAAGGCAGTAGTCAGAAAATCCAAAATGACCACAGAGGGGAGGAGGCTGGGGAGTGGCTCCACAGGGAGGGCACACAGTGACACTTCATGCAGAGGGTGCCCCAGGAAGGCTCAAAAGCAATCTGTAGGGAAACAGGCTCTGGGCTCAACTCAGTGAGGGAAAACATTGGGTTAACCGAGTTCTTTACTGGAGGACTTCTTGGAACCTCAAATATGCTGATGTATATTGTGAATCTATAAAAAGGGGACGTCTGGTACAGCGTTTCCCAAACTTATTTAACCACAGAAACCTTTTTTTGTTTGTTTTTTGGCAGAGAGCTTAGTGCACGCACAGCTTAAAACCCTGAGTTTGAAACCTCAGGTTTCCTACCCTGCACGGGGGGCCTTGCGCTCAGTGCTGGGGACACTGGAATACAAAGATAAGATCCCTGCTCCCAAGGAGTGCCATCTGTGGAAGGTGGCCATGTGCAGGGTCCAATAGCGGTGAGCCAGTGTGCAGGGAAGCTGAAAAGGAGGCAGGGAGCAGGTGAGGAGCTGGAGCTAGAGGACACTTGGGCTCCCCAGGTGAAAGGGAGGTGCTAGGAAAGTGTGGCAGGACCACTTAGAAGTTGGGAGAGGTGGGGTGGGAAGCAGAGAGGGAAATGTGGACAACTCTCCCCCCTCAAATCTTCTTGCCTTTGAATTGGCCAAGCTGGTTGGTCTCCACTCAAACAGTCACGGGATTGTGAGGAGTGGGCCCTCTATCCCTCCCAGCCCCCACCCTCAACCACATCTATGCTATTCAACTTGGGCGAACATCCAGAAGCCAAGGAATAGCTATTCACAAACTCAGTAATTGGACTCATTAGCGTTGACTCAGAAATCTTTTTTTACCCTAAGTCTCTCTCTTAGAGAAGCTTTTAAGATCCTTTAAATTGGTTAATGGAGAGTTTAGAGATGAGGACGGAGCCTCGGCTTTCAGCTCCCCCTGCCCGTCTACCTGGCTCTTCCCAACATACTCAAGGGCAAGAGTGATGATATAATCCAATATCTGTTTTATTAAACACCTAGACATTTCTGGCACACGTTTCCCAAACGGGGACCTCAGAATCACACTCTCCAGCTCTAGGACTCCTAGCATTCAATCTACATTTACTCTCCCATGACTAGGACAGTCATAATGCTTTCACATAAAATTGCAGTCTGAACTGATGGACAAGAACCCTGGGCCAGGAGTCAGGAGGCCCAGGTCCTCATCCTGGCCCAGCAACTCATAAAGTCATGCAACCATGAGCATCACTGCCTCCTGGGCCAAAGTGAGCACAAAGGTCCTCTCTGTGGTGAAATGCCCTTGCATTTGTCTTGTAAGGTAGGAAGGCAGACACCATTGCCTTTGGTATACAACTGAGGAAGCAATATGGAGTCAGGTCACTGCTTCAAGGTGACATGGCCAGGCAAGTGGCAGAGCCAGACCTGGGTCTTCACATACTTTCCTCTTCTTGATTGTACTGGCGCAGGTGCTTAGGGTTTGGGGGAAGGTGGGTGGGGAACCGGCCTCTTCTTCGGGACTCAAGTTGTGATATCTCTCTGAGAACCCACAGGCTCCATCTTTAGGGCTGAGGTGAGAAGTTCTGAAAGTCAAGCAGACACATCCAGGCATTTGGGCAAGAAACGTCTTCCTTCCAAATCAAAGGTGAAATGAAAATGATTATGAGCCCATGGGGGATGAATAGAGGTGAATGGTGGAGCTAGTCTTGAGGATGGCCTAATTCAGTATTTTTAAGTGCCAGCCATTCACAGAACCGCCCCTATGATTTTTGCTCCCTCTCTGGACCTGTGCCCCCTTTTACGTTGTTTTTCTTTAAACTGATTCACTTTTTTTTTTTTACAGTTAGCTTTATCCTAGACAGAACATCTGCCAAACTACACAGCTCAATATGCTAGTCATATTTTTATATTATACATTAAATATGTAGCTACTGAAATAGAAAATATTAATTTGAATACCACCTAAAATCTTCTTGTGAACCAGGGATACACACATCAGACATTGGCAAACAGCAGTACAGGATTAAGTGTGAGAAAACCAAGGCATAGGAAGGGAGAAGGTAAGTTATTTGCTCAAAGACAAAGGCTAAGGTGCGCACAAGGGTCTCTGGACCCTTCAGTAGGGCTTTTCATAGGTCACTGAATGCATCCTTTGGTGCACAGACCAGAAATGACTGTGGATGCATCCAAGGCTCATCTGTGAGGCTACCAAGTGTGGGGGAAGATCAGTCACTTACTAGCCATGTACGTGAAATTGCTTGGGAACCTAAACTCCTGCTGTAATTTCTACCTGGAAAGGGTTACTGATGCTTTATTTTTGTTATCCAACCTCCTGCTCCCTCTGGCCCCTAAGAGGCACCACGGACTATGTTTTATCTCACCTTAGCCAAAACCTAGTCTTACAACACTCCCTTCCAGTGGGTAGGGGGGTGGGAGGATAGCCCTGCTGGAGGATTCCAGGCTGGCTCCGAGATGCCCACTTCTGCAGAGGAGGCCAAGGTTCCCTGTGCTCGAGGCATGTGGTAGGCGTGAGGTTCCTGCTAGCAGGGTGTTCAAGCTGCAGAGGGAGGGGCTGGAGAAAGACTTCAGTCCTGTCACTGTCAGGTCGCTGGGCCCTGGGGCTACAAGAAGAGGTGAGAGCAACTCTTACTCATGCTGTACATTCTTGGACTCCGACTTTGGAGCCAGCACTTCTTCAAGGACTTGGTTCCCCAGGCATTGTTAACTCCCAACCCCAGTGACTCATGAGTGAGCAGGGCTCTCAGAGCCCTAGAAGGGTAATTCAGGCAACCTTGGGATATTGTCTCTCCTACAAAATCATCAGAGCAGCTACCACTTGTTCAATACCTACTGTGCTGTCAGGCTGTGCTAAGTCCCTTAGAGTCATCTCATTTAACCCTATGACAATCTAATGAGTTAGGTGCTACCATTACCTTCATTTTTAGAGGTGAAGAAACTGAGGCACAAAGCCATGGAGTCCAAGTTCAGTGACAGTGGGGGTTAAAACTCAGGTTTGACTGGGCGCAGTGGCTCACACCTGTAATCCCAGCACTTTGGGAGGCCGCGACGAGTGGATCGCCTGAGGTCAGGAGTTTGAAACCAGCCTGGCCAACATGGTGAAATCCCGTCTCTACTAAAAATACAAAAAATTAGCCGGGTATTGTGGTGGGTGCCTGTAATCCCAGCTACTCGGGATACTGAGGCAGGAGAATCACTTGAACCTGGGAGGCAGAGGTTGCAGTGAGCTGAGATCGTGCCATTGCACTCCAGCCTGGGCAACAAGAGTGAAACACCATCTCGAATAAAAATTAAAAAAAAAAAAAAAAACAACTCAGGTTTGTCTGACTCCAAAAGCCGCATTCTTTTTTTTTTTTTTTTTTTTGAGATGGAGTCTCACTCTGTCGCCTAGGCTGGAGTGCAGTGGCGCGACCTCGGCTCACTGCAAGCTCCGCCTCCCGGGTTTACGCCATTCTCCTGCCTCAGCCTCCTAAGTAGCTAGGACTACAGGCGCCCGCCACCTCGCCCGGCTAGTTTTTTGTATTTTTTTAGTAGAGATGGGGTTTCACCGTGTTAGCCAGGATGGTCTCGATCTCTTGACCTCGTGATCCTCCTGTCTCGGCCTCCCAGAGTGCTGGGATTACAGGCTTGAGCCACTGCGCCCAGCCTGGTTTTTTTTTTTTTTGAGACGGGGTCTTGCTCTGTTGCCCAGGCCGGAGTGCAGTGGCGCAACCTCGGCTCACCGCAAGGTCCGCCTCCCGGGTTCACGCCATTCTCCTGCCTCAGCCTCCTGAGTAGCTGGGACCACAGGCACCGCTAACCACGCCCGACTAATTTTTTTTTGTATTTTTAATAGAGACGGGGTTTCACTATGTTAGCCAGGAGGGTCTCGATCTCCTGACCTCGTGATCCGCCAGTCTTGGCCTCGCAAAGTGCTGGGATTACAGGCGTGAGCCACCGTGCCCGTCCCCAAAAGCTGTGTTCTTAGCCACCACTGGGGTTGGAAATGATTAGGAGACCAGAGACTACTGCTATCTACTACTCTGTCACAGAGTACTGAGCTCAGGGAATGAACCTGTTGGCTTGGACTTGGGTCTGTACCTGCAGCCTCCATGGAAAAGAGGGCTTGCAGCCTCTCCTGGGCGGCCTCATTTCCCAGAGCTGCTGACTGCCGGTAACATCTCAAGGCCTCTCGCAGATTCCTCTGCACACCAAGGCCTTTCTCATAGCAAATTCCAAGGTGGTACCTGCTCTGTGAGTCCTAAGGAGAAAATGGACAAACAGATACACACATGCAAGAATGAGGAACTGAAACGCTAAGGCAGGAGGAAAGTGAAGTCAGGCATGCTGGGACTTCATCCATGCAGGAACAAGACCCAGCCTTGGCCCGTCCCATAACAAGGGATCTCAACCATGAAACGCCAGAGGCTCAGAGCTCACCCAACACAAAGGAGAGGGGGATCCCTCCACCCAGGGAGATTCCAGCCAGGGCAGTGTAGAGGCTTCTCTTGCACAGGGTGGCTGAAAGCATGCACAAGGAAGACTATAGGAAACAGCCCAGTTACAGGAAACCTGGGAGTCGGGCTCCTACGTTGCCCTGAAACAGCAAGGAGGCGAGGGTGGAGGGTTGTCTTCCCAAAGGCCCTGTGCCTTCCTGAATCTCTGCCTGGGAGGGCTGACAGAAAAAGCAATTCTTCTCTAAAAAGCTATGCTCGGCCTGGGCGCAGTGGCTCACACCTGTAATCCCAGCACTTTGGGAGGCCAAGGTGGTCAGATCACGAGGTCAGGAGTTGGAGACCAGGCTGCCCAACATAGTGAAACCCCGTCTCTATTAAAAATACAAAAAAAATTAGGCAGGTGTGGTGGTATGCACCTGTAATCCTAACTACTCAGGAGGCTGAGGCAGGAGAATCGTGTGAACCCAGGAGGCGGTGGTTGCAGTGCGCCAAGATCACGCCACTGCACTCCAGCCAGGGCAACAGTGCAAGACTCCATGTCAAAAAATAAAAAATAAAAAAAAATAAAGCCATGCTCTTTGCCCCAGCTCTGGATCCTCGATTCTCTCTCCTCTCACTGAGAACTATGCTCCTGGTAGGAATAGGCTCAGGTAGGTAGAGGTAGAGGCTGGGTGTCCAGCTGCATAGCCAGACTGTCTGTGCTCCCATCACAGCTCTACCATTTACCAGCTGTGTTAACTCAGGCATGTGACTCTAACTCATGGTGCCTCAGTTTCCTCACCTATAAAGTGGGATACTAGTAGCACCTACTTTATTAGGTTGTTGCAAGGATTAAATACACTATATGAAAAGTGCTTACATTCACTATACGAATCATATTCACTCTCCCAATTAAAAAAACAAAACAGGCCAGGTGTGGTGGCTCATGCCTGTAATCCCAGCACTTTGGGAGGCCAAGGAGGGCGGATCACGAGGTCAGGAGATCGAGAACATCCTGGCTAACACGGTGAAACCTTGTCTCTACTAAAAATACAAAAAAATTAGCCAGGCATGGTGGCGGGCACCTGTAGTCCCAGCTACTTGGGAGGCTGAGACAGGAGAATGGCCTGAACCCAGGAGGCAGAGCTTCCAGTGAGCCGAGCCTGCACCACTACACTCCAGCCTGGGCGACGGAGTGAGACTCTGTCTCAAAAAAAAAAAAAAAAAAAGAAAAAAGAAAAAAAACCGAAACAAAACAAAACATTATTGACTCCCAACCATGGTCCCATTTCTCTTCTACCCTCCGCAGTCAAATTTCTGGGAAGAGTTGTCTACACATTCTCCCCCTACTTCTATAACACACGGCAGACTCATGCCTACAGACCAGGTTACAACATAGCAGTGGACACATGTGAGGCCAAAACACCACCCCTGCATCGCTGCTCAGTACCAACCCAGAAAGATACAATTCCCTGTGGGGTGGAAGAGTGTCAGGTCTGAGTCCCAATACAGTGTCACATAGCAGGTGACAGATATCCTTTTGTGCATTTCTCCTGCTAGCATGCTGGTCTGATTATCTGGTGGATACTTGGTGGCATTGGTCCCCTTTGGACAGCTACTACAGATACTTTGGGCAACACAGAGTAGACAAGGAAAAGCATTCTGATGCCCAGGAGTTCAATGAAGCTATCAGTGTGTTGGCCAGAAAACAAAGGAAGCAGCAGTCCCCTATGTAGGGAGATTACAGTTCACGCATATATTGCTTGATTTAATCTAAGACTCCTGGTCCTTCAAGATGCAACTCAAAAGATACACTAGTCAAATACACTTGAGGAATACAGCGAATTACAGATGGCCTTTTCAGTGATCTACAGTGACATAAAGCTTTGAGACTTCCTGCATGAACTGTTTAACTCAGTACTTCCCAAACCCATCTAACCATTTTTTTTTCCTCTTACGACTTATAAACATCCCAGAGAACTAATGCTTCATGGAACACATCTGAATTGTCTGAATGCCAATGACCCCAGTTCACAAACAACCAGACATCCCCACCCACCCCAAACTGAGCAGTGTTCCCTGTTTACTGTCTCCACCTGATGCGTCTTCTGATTTCCCTGGGTTACCATCACTTGTAATGATGCGTTTTTCATGTGTACAGGTCACACAGCACTGTCACACCTGTTAGTTATCTCGGTTAGATTTTGATCCTCACAACCACCCTGTGAAGTAGTGGACACGTAAGGCAAGCATTATTATGCTGATTTTACAGAGGAGGAAACAGGTTTGAATCAAGAAGTGAGCAGGCCCAGTAGTGTGCTGGTAAATGTTGAGCAACTGGCTCTCGGGCGGGCGGGGGGGGAAGTTCTGCTTTGTGGCATTTAGCAATTCCTGTGGTGAAAATATTCCCACCATAGCAGATTTTAAGCCACCAACAGCTCTCACAGCCTGGTGCAAGCCAGCTCCGGCGTTCTATTGCAGCTGCCCAAGGGTCACACAGTAAGTCAGTGACAGCTAAGGCTTGAAGCCAGGCCAAGGCTCCTATCAAACAATCTCCTCAGCACAGAAGAACTCAGTACCAGTTCCAAAATCCCTTCTCTTATCAGGCTTCATCCCCAACATGCTTGCCCACTAGAGAGCTCATACCCCATTGTTGGCTGCAAGCCAAAGATATTTCACAGCTCTTTTCTCATCCAGGTAGGGCTCCTTGGTGAAAAGCACCCCGAGGAAAGCTTGGGCCTGTGGTCAAGGAGGAAGGAAAAAAAGGCACCTTGGTCACTTTCGGGCTCCACAAGCCCCAGAGACCTTGGACAGACCCTGCCAATGGCACTCACCTCTCTCAAGCCTGAGTCTGCAGCCTGCTTCACCATGGACACTGCCCTCTGCTGCTCAGGGTTCCACAAAGAGGCTGGGTCTCGTAGTAGGCACCTGGCATAGCGGTACTGAGCCAGGCTGTGGCCCTGGCTGGCAGCCAATTGATAATAAAGGACTGCCTGGGGCAAAGGGAGAAACACTCAGTCAGCTGGTAACTCTGTACATCTTTTCCTTTCAGTGAAATTTTTAAAAATTATTTTAATTAAATAATACATAATAATTATAGACTAGTCACAAAATTCAGATAAGCCAAAATTTTAAAATATAAACCAAAAATAGAAACATAAAATCCCAAGAAATTCAGCCTCCTAAAGATCATTCTTGCTTAACATTTTAGTGTATACAGCCTTGTAAATATCTTCTCACATGTATGTGTTAGACATACACACATACATTTTAGACATCTATGCATTTGCACGCACATATGTGTATGTGCGGGGGGGCAAAGAGAGAGAGACTTAGATCATACTATACATACTATACTACTTTATAACCTATTTTTTTTAACTTTAATGGTACACCATGAATGTCTTTCCCTGACATACATATCTAGCACATCATTTTAAGGCCCAAATAGATGTAATTAACCAGTTTTCTATTGAAGAAACTTTCAGGGTTTTTTGGGTTTTTCTGCCTTCACATACAACTCTAAGAAATACATTCTTATATATAACCTCTTTGTGTTCTTATCCCACTTTTTAAAAATTCATTCATCCATTCATCAAGATGCTATTCTAGCGCTGAGGATATAGCTGCAAAGAAGAAAGGCAAAATCCCTGCCCTCCCTGAATTTTGAGTCTAAATTCCTGGAAGTTAGGAGCTTCTTTCTTATTTTTCCTTCGCAGCTTGGCTAGAACCAAGTGGAGAAAAGAAGCCAAACTTTCCCCCATCCCTGCCCACTGCTCATTTCTAGACATCAATCTCAGCAGCCCAGCACAGCGGGCGGGCTTGGGGGAAGGGGAATACCTTGCTAATGTCTCTGGGGGTGCCTCTGCCGTGCTCATGACACAAGCCCGCATTGTACTGCGCTTTGCTGTAGCCGCGCGCTGCAGCTTTCTGGAAGTAAGAAAAGGCTGCCGTGTAGTCGCCACTCTTCATGTTCTCCGTCCCTGTAAGAAGGCACAGGGCACAAACACTCACAGCTTCCTCAGTGAACTTCCCCACACCCTCAGCCAGGTACCTACAGACTCCACATCTGATTCTCCTCCCTTTCTTTTTTTGTGCCAGACACTTTACATACATATATATATATATGTATTTTTTTTTTTTTTTTGAGATGGAGTCTTGCTCTGTTGCCCAGGCTGGAATGCAGTGACACAATCTTGACTCACTACAACCTCCACCTTCTAGGTTCGAACGATTCTCCTGCCTCAGCCTCCCAAGTAGCTGGAATTACAGATGCCTGCCCCCATGCCTGGCTAACTTTTGTATTTCTAGTAGAGATTGGATTTCACCATGTTGGCAAGGCTCGTCTCAAACTCTTGACCTCAGGCGATCCACCTGCCTTGGCCTCCCACAGCGTTGGGATTACAGGCATGAGCCACTGTGTCCAGCTCTTTGCATATATTTCTATCCTCTGAATATTTCACTGGTTTGCCATAGATAGCAGTGGGTTCTGCCCTGCTATAAACCACTCCTCCTTCTCTTGGTAATAGCATCTAGATTTCCCATTGGGAACAACCTGTCCCCTAGTGCTGTCAATCAATGTGCTTGTGTTCTTCCTAACCACGGAGGTTCCTTCTCAGGAATCTGAACCTTGATCTGGTTGGGACAAGGAGAGAAAACAGCCCTTGTAGGTTTATTCTGACAGCAGCACTCTGAAGATACTGTCTATCAGCTGCTGCCTCTTGGGTCTCTGGAGCTTCCCTGATTCCTGTCCTTTCTGAGGCTTGGCAGGTCAATAGATCCCAATAGATTCCTTTTGTGCTTAAGTTAGCCAGCGTGGGTTTAGGTTGCTCATAACCAACAAACCCTAACTGATACAAGTGATACCGTTAATCTTGTTTTATGAAGAAATTGGGAGCGGTAATACAGCAGTGTCAAGACCTGAATGCAGGCACGTCCAACTCCAAAGCCCATGCTCTTTTTATTGCCCAAACAAAGAGGAAACAGGAAAGGATCAGGGCATGGCCAATTTTCAACTCAAAGCCTTGGCTCCAACTGTCTCTCCTGCCTGGGATCTCTCTTTCCACCTCCACCATCAAAGCTCCCATCCTGTGTCTGCTCTAGAACCTTCAGACCACACTCAGGCTTTAAACACTTTTTTGGCACTTACTTAATATACCAAGCCTTTTCTACAAACTAAACCATTTCAAAAGAACAAGTCCTGTCTCCTCAATTAGACTGTAAAATCCTGGAGGCAGAAGCAGAAAAAGAATGTAGAAGAAATAACTTTGCCGAGAGTGAAGGCACCATACAAATGCAAAACATGATTATGGCTTATGCTCCTTTTGTGTTCTGCCACCGTTCCAAGTGCTTGCTGAATACATGAATATATGAATGAAGGGATGGGCAAGAAAATTCTGAGAAGAGACTCTTTGCCCATCAAAATCACATAAAGCTAATGAGGGAGAAACCAGGTTCCATTCAGCCAGCAGTGAATTAAACAAAGTTGCCTCCCTGCTGCCTGCAAACTCACTGTCCAGGGTTCACAGAGCCCTCTGCCATTGGGGAAAAGACTCAGGAGCGCAAAGGATCCCACCATCCTCCTGTTTCCCGCCTGGCTCATTAATATACCCAGATCCATCTACTCTCCTTGCTCTCTCCTTTCTCTCTTCTAGACCATGCCACCGACACGTTTTGTTTAGCTGTCACCAACAGCGCCTACCTGGTCTCCTTTTTCCCCTCTGGCAATCCTACAATCCATGTCTGTCTACATGGCAGCCAGAGAGATCTTTGGAAAAGTACATCAGATCATGTGACTGCCCCCTTTCCAGCTCTGGCTTAAAGCCCTCCAAAGACTTCCTGTCTCACTTAGAAAATCCACACTCTTTGCTGTAGCTCAGAAGACCTCACCTGATCTGACCCCTGCCTGCTTTTCTGGCTTTATCTCCTTCGGCCCTTCTCAAGATCTCTAAGCTCCAGCCACACTCACCTTTCTTTTGTTCCCTTAGCAATCAAAATCCAATCCTGCCTCAGGATTTTTGCGCTTACTTTTCCCACCACTTGGAAAGCTCCTTCTCCAGATTGAAACAAAAAAGGCTGTTCCTGTGACGGTCTTAGATCAAAGGTCTTCTGCTCAGTGAGGACTTCTAAATCAAAACTACTCCTTGTTCAAGTCACTAACACATTCCTTTGTTTTATTTTCTTCATAACATCTATCAACATCTGAAATTCTCTTTTTATTTGGTTTTCAATTATTGTTTTTCTGCTCCCTGAGAATAAGGACTTTGTCTTGTAAATCACTGTATCCCCACTATCTAAAATAGGAACTGGCAAAGGGTAAATGCTCAATAAATTTGTTGTGAGTGAATCGCAGCCTCTTGCCTATCTGCTCACTAGACCCCAGCAGATGCTGTGGGGAGTCTGAGTCTCCACATTAGAAGGCCTAAAAGGAGCCTAGCTATTGCAGAGACCAGGACAAACGGTGGAAGGGTGTTTGGAGTCCCCACATGAGGGTAAGAGGTTCCTGTTCACACACTGAGGGTCTGCTCCAAACCCCAGGAGCCTGTTCTTTCCGAAGTGTGGCAGAGAATGCTGTGTGCCCTCCAAGATGTATTTTCTCCTTCATACACAGTAACTACTCTCCTCGGTGGCAAGGTGTGGCCATGTGCCTACATTCTGGATAAGGATTTGTGCAACGTCTAGATTAAAGGGAAGGAGTGATCCTTTAGCGTCCCTACCTTGCCCCTTCCAGCTGGCTAGAATACAGACAGGAGGACAGGAGCTGAAACTACCAAACTGCGCCTCAAGTTGGGAGCCAGTTTTAAAATGGCAGGACACATTTGCGTAAGAATGGGTCCCTGCCACGCCAGATTTAGTCTACCTACCTGGGACCAAATAAAATCTCCCTACCTGGGAGAAAATAAAATCTCTCATTTAAGCCACTCCCTATCCTGACTATATCTGATCTACCCCATACCGTTTCCATTTTCCCACCCTCCTGCCTTGAGGCAGGGTCCATTTGGTTACCCAGGAAGTTGAAAGCGATGGAAACACTGAGCTGGAAGATCTGCTGAAAGGAAGTCACAGCCTCCTCAAGGGAAAGAGTTTTTGATTTATCTTGTTCCTGGAAAAGAAATATAAAGACTTACCAAGGGATGGTTTACTGGGATTGCCACCTGCCCAAGAGAATGTTATGAGGAGCCAGGTGGCCAAATCTGGATAATACCTTTTCACCAGTGGGCTGAGGCTGGGCTGGTTTTGCCTTGGACTCGATGCTGCCACTGGCATGCAGGAAGCCAAAATCACTGGGACCTGCAAGGGAAAGGCCGACACCTGGCCAGGGCAAAGGAGAAAGTTGTACTTCTTTTCTCCGACTCTTCCAATCTACCCAGGCTTTCCATCCAGCACCCTCACCAGGAACCGAAATAACCCTGAATCACCTCACAAGGCATGGGACCTCACAGGAATGCCAATTCCCTTCACAGCAACCAACATCCCTCTGCCCAGTTTGCCACCACCACCCCCTGCCTTCTGCTGATTCCATGAGGCAGGGACATACCTTCCTCAGAGGGGTCCTGAGGACGAGCTGCTCTCAAGGAGTTGTGTGAGAAGTTCTGGGGCTGAGCTGAGGCTTCTTCCTGGCCAAGCCTGGGCTCCCTGAGGCCAGTGTGCCTGGGAGCTGGGCAATCAGGGCTGGGGAGGACGTGTTGTCGCAGTGCTGGAAAGAGACAGCAAGAGTAGTCAGGTCTGGGCCAGGCACAGTGGCTCACACCTATAATCCCAGCACTTTGGGAGGCCTAGGCGGGTGGATCACCTGAGGTCAGCAGCTCAAGACCAGCCTAGCCAACATGGTGAAACCCCATCTGTACTAAAAATACAAAAATTAGCGGGTTGCAGTAGCACACACCTGTAATCCCAGCCACTCAGGAGGCTGAGGCAGGAAAATTGCTTGAACTCAGGAGGCGGAGGGTGCAGTGAGCCAAGATCACGCCACTACTCCAGCCTGAGTGAGAGCAAAACTCTGTCTCAAAAGAAAAAAAAAAGAGTGATCAGGTCAGAAGAGGATCAGTGCAGGCTGCTCGGGCTTGACTGAGTCCTCCCTGAGGTTTTAGAGGCCATAGGAAGAATTTTGAAACTCCTGTGATACTTCCTTCACATTCCTCCTCCTCTGTTTCCTTGGCTTCCCTCCAGAGGAGTCTAGAGGGGCCTGTATTTGTGCTGATCTCCCACCCTAAGCATCAATCAATCCTCTGCCTAAATTCTTCAGTGGCAGGGAGGCACCTAGCACTTTCTTTGATATCAATATTGCCAATGATTATCATCATAATAAGGATAAGAACTAATGCTTAAACTAATAATTACTACACACTTACTATGTGCCAGGCACTGCCCTAAGTCCTTGACATGTACTAACTCATTTAGTCCTCCCAAGAAACCTATGGGGTGGGTTTTATTATTACCCCAATTTATAGATGAAGAAACTGAGGCAGAAGGAAGTTAAAAGTGACTTGTTTAGGGACATAAGACTAGTATGCAGCAGTTTTGGGATTTGAACCTCTAGAATCTGACTCTAGAGGTTCATATTCTAGCCTATGTTCAGTGTTCAGACACTAGGCTATGTTGCCTCTGCACCATGGCACATAATAGGTGCTCAATAAAGATTCATTTATTGATGAATGACTGAGTGACTGACCAGAGAATAATTTAACTGGTTGAATGTGGGCCAGGAAGCCATACCCAGAATCTAAAGTAGTCTGGACCCTGCGGGGCTCCCTTGGTTGGAGGTGATGGGAGGAAATGGAAAGATACTGAGGGGTAGGTGTGGCCCACACCCTGGGTGGATAGAACTTCCCCACATTCCTCTTCCTCTGACTTCAGATAGGAAAAGCAAGGAGCTGCTGATGGCTCTTTTCCTGAGGTGTGTCCAGAGACGCTTCCTGGCCCAGAGAAACTCCCAGCCCAGCCCTCCTGTCCCCAGGACTGAGAACTCACAGGAGCAGGGGTGCCACAAGGGAGATGAGAGGAAACGGTCCAGGGGACTGTGCCAGGAGCAGTGTTCTACCCGCGGAGGTCCTGCTGGCAGGGATGCCCGGAAGTGGATCTGCCTTGCCAGCTGCAGGGCCAGCACGGCCAAAGTGCCCTGGGAAAGACAGCACATTAAGGACACGGTCCTTCACCAGTCAACTCCATCAGACCCGGCCTTACACACAAACATCACTTCCTCAGGAAATCCCGGTGGCGCAGCTCCCCGACTACAAACTTTCCCAACACCCTAACTTCTCTGGAGCCCTGACCACACCGGCATTTAAACAATCATCTCCACAGTTATTTATCTAAGGTCTGTCTCTCCTGTTAGTCTATAAGCACAACATGGGCAGGGGCCATGTATGTTTCACTCACCAATGTATCTCTGGTGCAAAAGTATAGCACAGTGCTAAAATATAGTACGGACCTAATAAGTACAAACTGAATAAATGCTTGATCAAGTGACTAAATAAGCAAAGACTAGGCAGGCAAAAAGATAATGGGATAGGTTGGCACCTAGTTGCAAATATAGCAACAGGTCAGAGTTCCTCATTAGGTTCTCTTTCCAGTCTTGCACAACCCCTCCCTCCACCAACTCCCATTCCCCTAATCAAGTCATCCCAGCACACACACATCTCCAGGTGTAAGCTTTGTAAAGGTGTTTCTTCTCTGACAGGTCTGCAGAAGACCTGAGCTAGCTCTTATCCCAGAGACTGCTTGGTTTTCCCTGTCTCCTGTCTCCTTGTGTTACGCTTAAGAAGGTTGCCTCAGGGTCGGGCGCAGTGGCTCATGCCTGTAATCCCAGCACTTGGGAAGCTGATGCAGGCGGATCACTTAAGGCCAGGAATTCAAGACTGGCCAACATGGAGAAACTCCATTCTACTAAAAAATACAAGAATTGGCTGGGTGTGGTGGCGCACACCTGTAATCCCAGCCACTCAGGAGGCTGAGGCATGAAAATTGCTTGAACCTGGGAAGCAGAGGATGCAGTAAGCCAGGATTGCACCACTGCAGTTCAGACTAAAAAAACACTGAGGTTGATCCAGATACTTACTTGTTGCTACAGGCACTGCATACAATAGCAAGTAAGACAGACATGGTTTCTGCCCTCATGAAGTTTATACCTTGTGTTTAAAAAGACAACACACAAGTACAGAGAGAAATGAATACAATAACTACTAATGATGCTAAATGCCAAGAAGGAAACCAATCAGGGAGCTACACAGAGCATAAGAGGGGTCCTGACAAGACAAGGAGTCAGGGAAAGCTTCTCTGTGGGGGTGACATGTGAGATAAGGCCAGAAGAAAAGGCACCAGCATTGTGAAGAACAGAGACAAGTATCTATGGTACTGAGGACAGCTTGCAGACCCTTTCATATGAGCAGTAGTGACAGAGCACAGGGATGGCATTGGGACTTCTGGAATCCAGGCCCACTTCCTACTTCTCACTATGGGACAGCCCTAGGGCTCAGATCTTCTCTGGCAACATGGGAAAATGCTCCTCTCTTCAGGGTGTGATATGGCCTTAGTACACAGCTCCTCAGAGAGAGGTAACCCTGTCATGGAGACACCCCAGGCTCAGCTCTGCTGATGTCACCAATTTGCAGATTGAGAAAGCCAAGGGTCACAGAGGTCAAGTCATTTGTCCAAAGTACACAGCATGAAAGCAGCAGGGATGAGCTGTGACAAACATGAGAGTGATGTGTGTGTCAACTTCATTCAGAAAACCTCATAAGCAGAACTTTTACCTGGAGCGTTGCCTGAAAAGCAAAGACTCTGCCCTATGAGACCTGGTATTCACTACTAAGAATCTGACCTTATAAATCAGTTTCAACAAATATCTATTGAGTAACTATTATGGGCTAGGCTCTGTATTAGATGCAGCAACCAAGCAGTAGAACATGAACTCCAGGGTTAAATCTGGCTCCTCCACTTAACAGGTATGAGACCCTATGCATGTTACCTAATATTGCAGAGCCTGAGGTTCCTCATCTGTAAAACGAAGGTGGTATTTCCCTTGTAAAAATTTTGTAATGATTACACAAGATAATGCATGTATAAAACTTTACATTAATAACTAATGCTATGAGGGCGCAGTGGCTCACGCCTATAATCCCAGCACTTTGGGAGGCCGGGGTGGGTGAATCAGTAGGTCAGGAATTCGAGACTAGCCTGGCCAAAATGGCGAAACCCCATCTCTACTAAAAACACAAAACTTAGCCAGGCGTGGTGGCACGTGCCTGTAATCCCAGCTACTTGGGAGGCTGAGGCAGGAGAATTGCTTGAACCAGGGAGACAGAGGTTGCAGTGAGCCAAGATCATGCCACTGCACTTCAGCCTGGGTGACAGAGCAAGACTCCATCTCAGAAAAAAATAAAACTAATTAAAAAATAAATAATTTACAAAATGATGCAATGTACTATTATTTATTATAAAATCCATGAAGGCAAGAATATATCTATCTTGTTCTCTGCTATGTGTGTAGTGCCTAGCAAAAATGCCTGGCCCAGAGAAGGTGTTATATAAACGTTTACTGAATGAAATGAGGAAAACATACATGGCGGGGGTGGGGAAAGTGGCAATATCTACTTGAATATGCTCCAATATCATGGGTTGCTTGTTAAATGGACACAGTGATTCCCTAGCCCTTGTTTCCAGGGTAGGCTGTATATCCATGCAGGATCATTCTCATCTACACTGAAGGTCAAGGACAAGGCTGGGGAAGCCTTACCCAAGATATCGCATCCCACAGGGTGTTCGGGGAGACACGGGCAGATATCCATTGGAAGGCATCCTTCCATCCATGGGACCTTGGACCCCCACTCGTGCCTGGGCCATGTGGACCTGACCTAGATGATGAAATAAGAGGCTGTCAAGTAGGGGCAAAGGGAGACCAGGGACTGGGCGTGGTGGCTCACGCCTGTAATCCCAGCACTTTGGGAGGCTGAGGTGGGTGGATCACGAGGTCACGAGTTCAAGACCAGCCTGGTCAAGATGGTGAAACCCCGTCTCTACTAAAAATATAAAAATTGGCTGGGCGCAGTGGCTCACATCTGTAATCCCAGCACTATGAGAGGCTGAGGCAAGCAGATCACAAGATCAGGAGATCAAGACCATCCTGGCTAACATGGTGAAACCCTGTGTCTATTAAAAATACAAAAAAAAATTAGCTGGGCGTGATGGTACACGCCTGAAATCCCAGCTACTTGGGAGAATCGCTTGAACCCAGGAGGCGGAGGTTGCAGCGCGCCGAGATAGCGCCACTGCACTCCAGCCTGGGCGACAGAGCGAGACTCCGTCTCAAAAAAATAAAATAAAATAAAATAAAAATTAGCAGGGCGTGGGGACTGGTGCCTGTAATCCCAGCTACTCGGGAGGCTGAGGCAGCAAATTGCTTGAACCCGGGAGGCGGAGATTGCAGTGAGCCGAGATTGCGCCGCTGCACTCCAGCCTTGGCGACAGAATATGACTCTGTCTCAAAAAAAAAAAAAAAAGGGGGGGGGGAGACCAGGGGAGGAAATGAGTGGCAAAATGGCAGTATCTTACCTGTCAAGGTTAGGCACAGGAACCAGCAAAGTGGAGGAGGTAGTCTGAGGCCCATCTGGGCTGGTGGACTTAGGAGTCACCCTCCAGAGGCTAGGTCCCAGCGAATGGGGAATAGCTGAAGAGAACAACCAAAACTCAGGCACCTCAACAAGAACCCAGGAATCACTGTCATCTGCCTCAGCAGAGGTTCTTAAACATGGATACACATGGGAATCTTTTATCTACTACAGATTCTAGGGTAGTACCCCAGAACCAATAAACTAAGATTTCTCAGGGTAGAGCATCCACATTTTTTTAAAGCACCCATGTGATTCTGCTGCTCTCCTATGGATGCCAACCACTTTTCTAAGATAACCAAACGTTCATACACATACTTTCACTAATGTTTGCGTCTCTTTGTCTCTAAACCCCTCCTCTCTTCACTGGCTATGCCTACTCCATTGGCCCCTAATCGTCTTTCATTTATTCAGTCCACCATCTCCTGCCATTGGACTCCACCCCCTCCCAACAGTCCCACCATCTCCTTGGACTCCACCGTCTTCTCGCTAGGCCCACCCACATCTCAAATTCCAACAATCCCTGACTTCCCCGCCCTCTTTCAGGCCCCACCTTCCTTAGCTCTAACCCCGCCCACGATCGCTTCGGCTGTTTCCTCGGGCCCACCCCCACTCCAGTTCGGTCTTTGCGGCCTAGAGTGATGCTGGCTGCTGGGACGTCCCTTACCTCGGCCCAGGAGTCCCGGGAGGCGCCACATGTCGCTGCCGGCACCATAGAGAGCAGCCGAAAGGGCGAGGCCGAAAGGGCGAGGCCAAACCTCGGGACAGCGGCTACAGAGGCCGCTGCAGTGCCCCGAGCGGCCGAGTCCCCGAGGAAGCTTTGAGCCGGCCAATTAGAAGGGAGCCCAGCCGGAAAGACGGCGCTACAGGGAGGAAGTGCAGGGCGGAGGCGTATTCCGGGCCAGCGGGGAGGTGACGTGCCGCAAGGGCATGGGGATGTGGGCCCGGGCTTCCGCGGGGGATGTCCTTGGCGTTCCCAAGCAGAGGCTGGGGACCGCAAGTGGCGAAGCGAGCCGCTCGGAAGCGGGAACCTTGAGAAGCGGTGCTGGAGCGACTTCGGGGGAGCAAGAGGACCTTGCAGATCGTGAGGCCGCGAACGAGGAAAGGCTTCCCCAGGCCCTAGGCTTGAAGAGGTGGGAGTAACCAGGCTCCGTGGGCGGAGGAGAGGACCCCCAGGGTCCCACAAGTGAAGCCAGTAGGCCGAGCTTCCGTCCAAGGCCACCTGCCTGGAGATGCCAGGCCAGGGCCCGACTGCGACGAGAAACCGCACGGAGCAAGGCTTTGATTCTGGCTTCTAGCTCGGGCCTAGTTTTGTCTCACTGTGCAGCTTCATGTCAACCCCTTACCTTGTCCGGGCCCCAATCCGCGCCAGATAGGGTCAAATGGAATGACTGGCCTGACAGGCTGAGATTCTTGGGTAGCTCCTTTAAAAATACCTGACACACCACCCGCACCCTATTAGAACCCTCATCTTCAGACGTGGCGAAAGTTATGTATGTGTTTGTTCTTTTGTGGAAAAGAATAATTCCGGCCGGGCGCGGTGGCTCAGGCCTGTAATCCCAGCACTTTGGGAGGCCGAAGCGGGCGGATCACCTGAGGTCAGGAGTTCGAGACCAGCCTGGCCAATATAGTGTAACCCCGTCTCTACTAAAAATACAAAAATTAGCTGCGCGTGGTGGTGAATGCCTGTAATCCCAGCTGCTCCGGAGGCTGAGGCAGGAGAATTGCTTGAACCCGGGAGGCGGAGGTTGCAGTGAGCCGAGATCGCGCCTGGGTGAGATTGAGACTCCATCTCGGAAAAAAAAAAAAAAAAAAAGTTCCTTTCACCACACTTGAATTCGTGAAATAACGGAGCTCACATTCAAGTGTAAGATGTTTAGATTTCCTCCCTATCCCCTTTCTCCAGGTATGTGACTTTAAGGTGGGTGGAAGTCTCTACCTGGGGTAAAAGTGTACTGGGGGCACCTACTTTTAGACCCAGGCATGTGGCTTGAAAGTTGTATTAATTTGTTAAACAACTTTTATTTTTCTTTTGAGACGGATTCTCTGTCTCCCAGGCTGGAGTGCAATAGTGTGATCTCGGCTCACTGCAACCTCCACCTCCCAGGTTCAAGCGATTCTCTTGCCTCAGCCTCCCAAGTAGCTGAGATTACAGGCGCCCGCTACCACATCCTGCTAGTTTTTGTATTTTTAACAGAGACAGGGTTTCACCATGTTGGCCAGGCTGGTTTTGAACTCCTGGACCTCAGGTGATCCTTCTGCCTCGGCCTCCCAAAGTGCTTGGATTACAGGCTTGAGCCACCGCGCCTGGCCGTTAAACAACTTTTGAACCATGTATCAGCCCGTCCTAGGATGTGAGAAGACAGATGAGGAAAGAGCATTTGTGGCCTCCAGGAACTCGGTCCAGTGGATTAGTAGTGGGCTTTGGAGTCCCACAAATCTAGGTTGGAATCACAACTTGCTTACTTCATAGCTATGTTATCTTATGCATGTTCCTTAACCACACTAAGTCTCAAGAGCTTCATCCATAAAATAGGGAAAATAATACCTCATGGCAATTGTTGTGAGGTATAAATAAAATAATACGTTAAAAAATGTTTAGCTTGGTGTTTCAGGAATACCCTTCAAAAAATAAAAAATAAATAAAAATGTTTAGCATAGTTCCTAGCATACAGTAAAAGCCCAGTAAGTGTAAGTTGCTATTAATTATAGTAGTAGGGAAGGTAAGTAGGCAAGTATAATAGATTATGTTCCCATAGAAGCATAAGCAGTGGGTTGTGGGATGCCTTGGAAGGCTTCAGAAAAGTAGTTACATTTGAGCGGGGCCTTTAAATATTGATAAGAGCTTGCCAGGTGGAGAAGGAAGAAAGGCATTGCAAGCAGAGGAAACAATAAATAAAGGCCCAGAAGTTTGAATGTTGGGCGACTATTTCAGAAATAGCCTTGCTTCGGGATTTGGAACGGCTACCTTTCACATTCCTTGTGTTACTGTCTTCAAAATAAAGTAACAAACAAGTATGCTGGTTCGGCTGTGTTCTTCCTTCTGAGTCTTTTGTACCCTCCTTCCTTTCAGATTATGCATAGTTTGTGTCATTTCTCAAGGCTCAGCCCAATCCCAGCTCTTCAGTGTAGACTCCTCAACTGTTTGAGCCCTCCCTGCTCCCTACTTTTCCTAATACCTAAATAGCACTTAATTTCTTACTACACAGTTTAGAAATAATTATATGCTGTCTTGGTATTTATCTCATTTGTGTAACTCTAGCCTTCCCAATTCTCTCCTTTCAGGGCAGGAATGGCATTTTCCTCTTCCGTGTCCCACATAGGGCTTGACGTAAATTGTCAGCCCAAAGAATATGTCCAAACAATGCCTGTTGACAGAACACCTTGTACTAATGATTATTACAGCCAAGGGTACCAGACCCCTGCCAGGGGATTTACTGATATGAGTAGAAATGTATTCATTGCACATAAAAACATTAGTTGAGGGCCCTCCCTGTTTGAAGCTAGTAGAAAAGTTTTGAAGGAGAGACTAGGACATCTGTCCCCATGTATAGAATGGCATTATGGCATCTCTTGTCCCCATAAACAGGAACATCAGCAGACCACTTGAGTGAGGGTAGATGGCGAGGGTGGCTGGAGCCCACAGCAGACCACCTGTTCAGTACAGCCCATGGGAGTGCTGTTGGTTGAATGGCAGCTCCCTCAACTGCCAGACCCCAAACTCTGTGGTTTTGGATTGTGGCTCAGTCCCTCTGCACAGTCCCTCAAGTTGACTCAATCCCTCCACAAAGGTAAACTGTCTGACATTGGGAACCTATTGCCTGCTGTCCAGTTAATCACCTTTCATGATTACTACACATGCCATTGTGTACTTTGTGTACACTCACTAGAGTGAGTATTCTAGATACTTGTTGCCTTCATTTTTGTAGGCATTCTTAATTTGCATTAATCAAATATATGATAGCTTGTTTAGTGCTAAAGGATATGCTAAGTATGTAACAATTTTAAAACATGGATGTGGGCCAGGCGCAGTGCCTCACACCTGTAATCCCAGCACTTTGGGAGGCTGAGGTGGGTGGTTCACAAGGCCAGGAGTTCAAGACCAGCCTGGCCAACATGGTGAAACCCCATCTCTACTAAAAAAAGTACAAAAAATTAGCCGGTGTGGTGGCGCACATCCGTAATCCCAGCTACTTGGGAGGCTGAGGCAGGAGAATCACTTGAACCGAAGAGGCGGAGGTTGCAGTGAGCCAAGATCGCACCATTGCACTCCAGCCTGGGTGACAGAACAAGACTCTGTCTTGAGGGAAAAAAAACCCAAAAAACTGGATGTGGTCCCTGCCCTCACAGAAAATAGCCTAGGAGTGCAAACAAAGTCAGTAGGCAATTAAAATACAGAGTGGTGTTTTAGTTACTTATTGCAGCATAACGAACACCCCAAAATTTAGTGGCTTAAAACAATCATTATCCCTCACAGTTCTGCAAATTGACTGGGCGCAGCTGGGCAGTTCTGCTGGTTTCACTTGGGGTCTCTCATGAGGCTGTAGTCACATGGCAGTCATATGAAGACTCAAGTAGGGCATTGGAAAGGCTGGGCCTCTTTCTCCATGTAGTCTCAGGTCCCCTCTGCTCCACATAACCTCTCCAGCTGGGTCGCTGAACTTCTTACACAGTGGCTCAGAGCTTCCAAAAGTACACAAGTGGAAGCTGGCAGGAACTGGCATAGCATCACTTCTGCACTCTGTTGGTTAAAGCAACTCATAGGGTCAGCCCATAATCAGTGTGGGAGGAGAAAACACAAGGTCACGAATACTGGGAAGTAGACTTGAAGCAAGTGCTGTGGTGAAGAAAGTACAGAGTGCAATGGGAACACCTGGGGAGGCCCATAACCTAGGCATGGAAGTCAGGAAGACTTCCTGGAAGCAGTAATGCTAAATTAACCTGAATGGTGAGGCCTGGAAACTAGGTGAAGAAGAAGAAAAGAAAGCCCAATTCAGCCAGGGGACACAGCTGATACAAAGTTCCAGGGAGGCAAAGAAAGCACAATTTAAGATCACTGTAGGTGGAGCTGGGGAGGGAGGCAGGGAGTCATGGCGATAGGGTGGTGATACGCCTTTAGTCTGGAGAGGTAAATGGCGCAGGGTCATAACGCCTTGTAAGCCTGTAAGACATTTGGACTCTGTCCTGAAGGCATGGGACATCTAGGAAGGGTTTTGGCAGGGGAGTGACCAGGCCAGAGGGATCCAAGAAAGACTATTGGCTGCTGTATTAGGGTCGAGCCCTCATTTTCACCCTGTCCCTTCTAGGCTGGTGACCTCACCTTCAGCACTGAGAAAGCTGAGTCATCACCTCAGCACTAATACTAGTACTAGCTCTTTTTGCTTTTGCTTTTTATTAGTGAGGATTTTGTTTTTATTTATTTTTTATTTTTTGAGATGGAGTCTCGCTCTGTTGCCTAGGCTGGAGTGTAGTGGTGCAATCTCGGCTTACAGCAACCTCCGCTTCCTGGGTTCAAGCAATTCTCCTGCCTCAGCCTCCTGAATAGTTGGGATCACACACCCAGCTAATTTTTGTATTTTTAGTAAAGAGGGAGTTTTGCCATGTTGGCCAGGCTGTTCTCGAACTCCTCACCTCAGGAGAGGAGGTCTGACCAGAGTGCTGAGATTATGGGTGTGAGCCACCGCACCTGGCTGGGATTTTTATTATAAAAGAGTGCAAATGCCTTTCTACAAATATTTTTGTTTTAATTGCTTTTTAAAGAACATATCGTAGA